TGGACTGTGTACACACAGGTCCATGGAAGACACCAGCATCAGCACTGCCTACACCGACTCTCACAACACCATTGACAATGCCAGCTACAAGCAAGGCACCACCATCACAGAAAGACGCAACAACGAGCACAGCAGCAGAAGGCAAGAGACAGAGCGCAGCACAAGCAAGCGGTCAGCCAACAAAGCAGAAGAGAACAGCAGAGCCAACATCCCCAATGGCTACATCACCAACACATCAGAAGCGACCAGCACTGCCAGCACCACCGCTTACATCACCCACAAGAGAAAGAGATGACACAATAACAGAAGGCAGCACAGGCAAGCAACAGCGCACCACAGCAGAGAGACAAGCGCTGGAGCGACCTACAACAGCCAAACAGCCAAAAGGCAAAATGAGAATAAATGCCATCAAGTTCACAACAAAGGATGGTAAACAAATGGAGACAACATCCAATGAAGACACAGAAGAAATCGACAATGAAAGGATACTACTAGAGCCAATCATACACGACACAGAAGGATTGAATCCACAACAAGTGGCCCAAGGAATGAAGAAAGAAGTACAACAAATGAAAGATCAATAAGTCTTCACAGAGATTGACGGCAACACAATGGCACCAGAACAACGAGCAAACATCATCGAGTCAAGATGGGTTCTCAAACAGAAACACAACGAAGTACGAGCACGCATAGTAGCAAAAGGCTACACAGAACCCGTCACAGACCATGACCTACTTTTAGCAAGTACACCATTGTTCTGCACACTGAGAATACTTCTCACAATGGCGTTGGTGTGCAACTGGTCAGTCTGTAGAGGAGATGTGAGTGTTGCATTCCTACATGCAGCAGCAATCTCTTACAACTTAGTAATGCGACCACCACACAAGTTCTACAATGAAGAAAGCAGACACATAATGCGGCGGCTGAACAAAGCCATTTATGGCCTACGATCATCACCAAAACAATGGCAAGACCACATAGCACACATTCTCACAGTCACCCTTGAACTTGTGAGATGCACAACAGAAAGCAATGTCTACAGATCAAAAGACTGCCAAGTCTACATCATGATCTACGTAGACGACCTCCTCTTCATCAACACGCTCTTCAGCAGGATACAAAAGGAAGCCCTGCTGAGACACACAGGCGACCTAACAGTGGGATCAGCAATGCATTTCCTTGGTAGGAACATCTCACACAAAGGCGACTACATTGACATCAGCTTGAACAACAACTATGTTGACATCGTCCTGGAGCAGTCAGGAATGACTACATGCAACCCAGCACCATCACCAGGAGTGTCACACATGAAAGGTACAGCAGAAGATGAAGCACCGCTAGACCACGATCAGCACAAGCAATACAGGCGGCGCTGGCAAGATACAATGGCTAGCATACACACGACCAGACATCAGCTATGGAGCAAAAGAGCTAGCAAGATCACTACAAGCACCAACACGACTTGACAACAAGAAGCTCAAGCGCATGATCAGATACCTTTTGCGAATTCCACTCAACATTGACACATACGCAGATGCCAACTGGGCATCATGCGAGACAACAAGGAAAAGCACAACAGGATTTGTACTGTACCTCTTTGGAGCAGCAGTACACTATGGCAGCAGAACACACGCCACAATAGCACTTTCATCAGCAGAATCAGAACTGTACGCAATTGATACAGCAGCACAGGAAAGCCTCTACATCAGCAACTTCATCAAGGAAGCATTTGAAGTACGCACCAACATCAGGATACACACAGACAGCAGCGCAGCAAAATCAATAGCAATGAGAGAAGGTATATCAAAGAAAGCAAAGCGCATCGATCTGCGACACCTCTGCATACAACAACTTGTCAAGAGCAAAACCATTACAATGCACAAGGTAAAGTCAGAAGACAATCCAGCCGACCTCACACTCAACAAACACATGTGCAACGTTGGCCTGTGAGGCCGCACCACAAACAGTTTCACACCAGCGAGTACTGTAGTCAGCACAGGTTGTTAAACAACAGGTGCACAGTTCACACATGATTGTTTTACTGCGTAACAGCCGGCATAGTTACAATCTTTTAGGGTAGATCGACCCCCTTGCGCTTTACAACCCTCTACATTTGGGACATTTTCTGCATGATAGTTTGTACATGTTTCAGACAATGTTTTGATACATGCTGCAGCCATCTACATTTGGTTTGTACAGTTTGCTTTTAGGCCAAGATCCTACAATGGATCATCGCGCCTACAAGACCCTGCACATGCCTTTGACAGTGCCAGATGGGCTTACAGTCGAGCAGGTTGGGGACAACCCGACTACACCTGCAAACCTTCAGGGTTACACTGAGGTGATGATCCCGCTCACCATGGAGCAGTACAAGTTCATTACAACCACTGCCACATCGCAGCCAGGTGAGATACGGGTTACATGAGGTCCCCCACACTGGGATTGATTGGAAGGCTTTACAGCCTGATGGATTGCGTCGGCTACATCAGCTGGCTAATACATGAAGGTCTTGACAGCACACTGGACATGACAACCTTTACATCCTCAAGGTCAACCTTCAGACAGACAAGCTTTTCCAAAACGTTTACCAAAAGCAAGTGACATTGTTCAACAAAACCTACATCAGCGTCCTACAACTACAACACACTTGCACATGGACCTTGTCGACCATCAAGAAGGCCTCTGGTACAATCACTAAGGTACAGGGCCACATTACAAATTTCTACCAGCACTACAACCTCACGCGCGACTTTGCAATTTTGCAACACATAGTCATTCCCATCGAGACAGTGCTCAACAATGTGGGCCCTCTGGACAGGGTTCATGCGGGCCTCGCCATGGCTCTACATCACTACAGCTACGCAGCATCGCTGAGCCACTCAGGACCAGAGTGATCCAGCACATCTGGTCCTAAGAATTCAGCTCACAGGGAGCAATACAATCCTGGTTGCTGGACAGGTCGGCTACAGCGCGAAGCTTCAGGAAATCGATGGTGCAATTATCTTGTCCCAGCAACAGGGCTATCGGCTTCTTATCAAGAAGCGCATCCCGGATGACAACTAGCTACACGCCATTGTGGCACACCGGAATTTGTTGCAGGACATCTGCACAGACAAGGACATCGTTGCACAGGATATAGGCCTGGTAACTGGCCACCTTCCTTGCTACATCGTGAACAGTTAGGATGATTCTGTACACGCATGAAAATGTACAATGAGTTGCGCTTTGTACACTAGAGCATAGAGGTGTACAAACCGAGGAGGCGTGTTAGAATACATTGTCATTGTACAGTCTTGTGAACACCCTTCTCTGCAACGCTTTACATCAAGGCCTTGAGCCTCAGTACATTGAGACATTGCCCGCACAGTGGAAAACAACTGCCGCGCTGTCACATACAGGTTTACACTTCGGGCAAATAGGCTACACTTTCACATTGAGTTTAACAGGGGGAAGTATATATATATATATATATATGAGGACCTGAGTGGATCATTCAACCGGATCGGCACAACTCCCAAACCCAAACAATGCCGCCTGCTTCGGACTTTGTTCTTACATATAGATAGATTCCATCAGTTTCCATTACCCTTTGACCACTAAGCTCAAGCGAAAATGGTGTATGCAACCGCTTTATGGCCACTAATTACATAAGGGGCATGTAACCATGTTCCTCGAAAAGTTTGGCGAGTGGAAGTCTTAGAAAATATAACCTCGCCAAAGTAAGCCACGCTAAGGGATGCTCGGTTCAGTATGGTCATTCCGGCACAGCCACCTCTTGTCAAAATCTGTAACTCTTGCTCAAGCCCAGCAAAGGATGGCAATTCCAACTTGCAGCGTGTTGGGCCCGTCAGAAGGCTGATCCTGAAAGATTGCAAAAGAAGACCACCAAAAAGAAGGTACATGCGTGAGCACTCGGTTTTTGCTGGGTTCCATGCATGTTAGCAACGTGGGTTGCTTGCTTGTCACGCCTACCAGCTCTTTCCAACACCCAAGTCCTAGCACTTACAGGTAAGTGAGGGAGTGGCAATCGTAGACTCATTGAACCGATGGCGATTTTAATTCAAATTGGCAGTGGCTCAAAAAAGTGGTACCCGTCTTTTGGCCCCTTTTAGGGAAACAAAGACCAAAACCTGCCTACCCCAGCTCTTCAACTTTGGGCCACACCCAGTTGGCTTCGGTGGCCTTCCGAAGCTGCCAAAATCACGCCCATGGCCATCACACCCCAAAAAACCCAAAAACGTCAGGCTGCCTAACCTCTAGCCTTGGGAAAGTCAAGGACCGCGCCCCTGCGTTTTAACCCAAAAGGTGGGCATGATTTGTCTTGCCTGTTGGTGGACATGAGGTTTATGTCCACCATGAACAGGGCGATCTCCCTATATGTCCACTTAGAACCTCACCCCCTACCAAGCCAAACTGACCCTAAACTTGCCAAACACGCGCTGTTTAACACCACCAAAAAGGGACCTAGTGACCCCTGATGAATGGGTGGTAGTCCTGTTTAAAGCCACAGCCTTAAACGTAGCAAACCCTGTTGTCCTCCACTGAAGCGTCCATGTTCGTGGACACCACTTGGGCAGTCGGCATCGACATCGCGGGAATCTCGCGGCGAGGTTTCGCACGACGTCGCACGAGCGTTTCGGCGGCATGGAGCTGCTGCGAAGCCAAAGCGAGGTTTCAAACTTGGGGGTTTTGGGCAGCCCACCGTCTAAATCAACTTTTGAGATTTTGTTTCGGAATTTGGAGAGTTTAAACCGTTTTTTACCATAGCTGCTATGCAGACTCAGCCGAGGGCTGACTGGTGATGGAGCCTCCCAAGCCCTGCATTCTAGTAGAAGAGACTGGTTACATACATGCCGTATGTATAGTGTATGAAAACAATTGCTACCTTTAGTGCTGCTTTCGAACAATGTACCAGTAACAGGTGTCCAACCGCACCCCAGATATGCCGTATAGCATCACAACATCGTAGAATGTTGACGTTGCGGCTCGAAAGCCAAAGACCGGTCTGATGTTGGCTGCGGCCCCCAAGAAAAGAGGCAAAAACAAGAACACAAATCTACTTGGTTGACGCTGGAAGGGGAGCAAAATTTAAATTTTAGCAGTTAAGTGGGGATTTCCCACTAAACCACAATAAGCACAAATGTAAAATGCTTCCCAACAACAACCATGTCTAGGAATCTGCCAGAACCCTGGGCCCCTCATCGCCGCATCACCTTCTTTTGATGCCCGTATCCTTAGCCTATCTGTGACCCACTGGCGCTGTCGTGTGGGGTTGGTGTAGGTTCATGGGCAATGAGTTTAATGGCTGGAATACCCGCCAAATCGAAACCAGTGCCTTCCTTTGAGTGCCCTCCTTAGGGTGGCAAAGGGAAACCCCTTGCACAACGAAAAGAAACCTGAAAACCAAGCAACATGCAAGCCCAGCCGCCAAAAGCACATGAGGCCTGAATGTGAAAACCATCTCCAACAAGCCGTGATACTAGAGAGATTCTAACACACCTCAAATTTCCGCCACCGCGGCCCAACGTTCCTCAAAACCCCTGGTTTTTCTGTGGGGCCCCTCGCTAGCCACAAGTCGTACGTGGTGCTTCGACCCACAGGTCATTAATCGGATACAACCACGTTGAAGTCGCTTGGTGGGAAACCGAAACCGGTTTGACGCCAGGTCTTCTTGAGTTTTATTTCCACCCACCACGCCCCATGGAAGTCGGGGGATGGCATACTGGGGGATTGCTGGGGTAGATTGCTGGACGAGACTGTTTTTGTTTTGCAGGGAAACCAAATGAAAACCACCCAAACTGCTCGGTTCGCAGAGACACGCCCATTGCGAATCGTCGCCTCCTTCGCCAACTCGAGCTCGAGCTGCCTGGTGTCCACGCCGTCCCCAGACACGAGCTGGTCGTCCGAGTTGTCTTGGGCAGAGGCGGCGGCAATGTCCTGCGCGCCAAACCAGTCAGACCGGTTCCCTTGGGTATGTCTTTTTGGGGGCTTCCCGTTGTTTTGGACCTGGATCTGGGTGCCCTTGGCTTCCCTTGGACTTCGCTGGGACTTTCCTTGGACTTCTCTTTGGTCTCGATCAGAGTTGATCACAACGCCAGATAAGCCTGGTCACCATCGCCTGCCCAAAACGCCCAAATGACGTCAGGTATTTCTTTGCGGTTACGTCACAGCTCGCAAAGAGCGAAGATCTCCTTCAGTGTCCATCGACCAGACCCACTCCCCCAGATCGTCTTTCGGAGGTTCAATGGAAAATCCGATTTCCAACAAATTGAGGGGAGACGGATCCACGCAAGAGTCGTAACACAAAAGCCAGGACTCGGGCAGCAACCCCATGCCTTCTGTCCAAAAGCTTCTCCCCCGATTAACATCAAACCCCAAAAGCCATCATTTGCAGAGGAGTCTCCCTTTGAAGGACCCCCCCTTTTTGGCTTCCACGTTCAAGAATACAGGTTCCAAGACCACCACAGGCCTTCTCCTCATACTTTGCCTAGTTTACCCCTTATAACTAAATATGGTGCCAAAGTCCCCCATTCCAATTCTTGAACGGGCCCCCCCAAAAAAAACAATCCTCCAGCCCCGGGTCCTTGTACCTGCGGAACCGCCTCGAGATCTCTGAGACCTGCTTTTCCAGCAGGCCTGCGCGGGCGAGCAGAGATCCAGCCCATGAGCCGACGCGACCGAGCCGTGAGCCGACCGTCAGACCAAACGACGATCAGCTTCCAATGGATTGGTGGTTTCGGTTTGGGTTGCCGCATAGGGTTGGTGGTTTGGTGGGAAACCCCGTCAAGCACCAGGGGTTCCCACCGGAGACACCCACGTGTTTCTCAAAACAGGCATCGGACCCCGAAAAACAGGTGGGCTTCCCGTAAAACACCATTCAAAGAGGGACCAATTGGATAAAACGCAAAACACAATTTGCCATGGTTTCTTAATATTTCTCAAGACGTCACAAGCACCCCCTTGGGGAATGGGCATTGCATGTGCTTTGCTGGTGGAATTTCTGGAAATTCCGATGCCTGAGAAAGTCCCAAAGCCAGGGGAACCAATAGCAAGGGGAGTCTTGGGACGATCAGAATCTTTCTGGCTCTTAGTCACTAGGCTGCAATTCAGAATATATCGGTCTCTTGATACCTGTCATCAATTGCTGCAATCGTTGCAGAACCCAATTGTCCAACGGATGAGATGCCGAAGCATCCCATACCGGTTGGGGAACAATAATCATGGCTCATGTTGTTTGTAAGGAACCAACTGGAGGATGTGGAGGATGAGACATCGTCTCCGCTTTTGGCAAATGTAAAAATGCTAACTCAAAGATGCCAGTCTCCATATTCCCTTCTGCCCTACAAATTAACATGGAACCGACACGGGTGGCCCACAAGGAGTGTCCTCTACAAAAGATGGTTTGTTGTGTTCCGTGTTAACCTGCAGAAAAAGTACTATTTTTCAGAGATGGACTCCCATCAGCAAGTAGTCTTCCAACATGCGAGCCGTCTTTGCGAATCGTAGCTTTGGGCTCCACCGTGCGGGTGCTATTCCAGGATTCGGACACATCAGTTGTCCTCCGATTCAAAAAACACTATCGCCAACAGCCATTCTGCCTTCGGAGCCCATGGGAGACAAAGGAAGTGCCAGCACGTTCAGCAGGGAGCGGTATGCCTGCGATGGGCGTCACGTAAGCAAAAAACGGACACAGCAATGATCATGGAAGGCCTTCCTCTGCCCAATAAAAAGCGGAATAATACCAGTAATTGCAACGTGCAATGATTCCAAAGGGTACGTGATATGGGGTGAATTCCAGAACCAAAGACTGCCCAATCCATCTGTGTGCCTCATCTTCGCGGTCAGTCAATTCAGCCACATGATCTAAATGTTGAAATATTGTTTTTCAAAGTAATTCTAGTTCTTGCCATGCAGAATATCTTACGATATCGCCTTAATGGTGTCTGTATGCCAAAGGGAAAGCAAACCAGAACCCAGGATGAATAAACCCCCAGTCAATTTTGATTGAGGGTGTGCCATCTTAGAGGCGAGCCGGATAGCATTTGGGGAACACCCCTCCTGTTCATCCGCCAGTTTGGTGAAGCTGGGGTCGATATTACTGAGTCTTAGCTTCAAACGTGTACGGTGTCAAACCAGTCGTGGGTTCAAACAAGTGTCCAGCCTTGCGTGGCTTGCGTGGCATCTCCCGCACTTGATTCTGGGCAAACTAAAACTAGTCACACACCGGAAATGTAAAATCTCCAAGTCAGGGGACTTCATCATGGGGCAAGAGCTCGTCATAATGTGTGCAGACTTGATGGTGCAAATGCAACTTGGGTATCTTTCTTAATGGCGGACCCTTTGGTGATGGAGGGTATTCCCCATCAAGACAAGTTCGAGCAATCTCTACCCTACCTTCGAGGCAAAACGCTTTCGAAGTGAGCCGCGCGTCTTTGTTTGGAGCCCTTTTCTCAGGTTGATTCAAAGGGAAACGGGTCACCCTATTTTGGGACAAGCCCATATTGACCCCAGCCTTTGGGTGGGTGCAACCCAAAACCTAGAAAGCAAAGGTGGTTGACGTTCCCCTCTTCCATAACTTGCTGCTGGGATAGGCAGGGAATGAGGGAAGGACCACGTAAAAACCATCCAACTGGTGGTTTTCTTTCAGGGGACCTCTGGCCTGTTCATTCATTCAAATTCCAACTCCCGAAACTCGGTCTCACCGATTGCAAGATAAACCCTTGGCTCCTTGGGCCATTGAACCAGCACTCATCAGCCGACCCTCAGGAACCCAGCCAAATGGAAAAAAGGATACCCATGATCATTTGGGGGCCGAAGGGAATACGGATCAACCCCCATGTACGTCCCGCTCTTCTATGGCCATAACCTATGCCTCCATTTTGGGGCGGATGAACACCCATGTGCCACCTATGTTCACCAGGGATTTCCTGCGTTTTGACCCAGAGCCCTATAAAGCCCACGCCCCCGGTCTTGTCAGCGCCGCATCGCTCGCCCCGCGCCGGCCTTGGAGAGGAGCTTCCCGCTCTCCGGGCCGAGGCCCTCGGTGCCCAGGCCGTTGATTTCCTCAGCCGGAGAGCCGGACCCAACCGCTGGGGAATGGCTTTGAAGGGGGGTTGGGGGGGGGCAGGCGGGGTTTGGGGGGTTTGGTTGGGGGTTTGGGGGGTTTGGGGGGTGTAGCTCTCCGCGATGAGACACAATTCCAAAACCTGAGACAAGGTTTGGATCCCGAGGGCGGAATTCATGAGCTCGTTGAACCCTGCCATGAAATAGGCAGAACTACCTGAGGCACCCAACGTGCCCTTTTTGTTAGGTACGAGAAGAAAAAAAACGCTCGAATTACCGATTTCTGCTCGACCCCCCCAAACAAAATGCCCTCCCGCCGAAAAACGCTCGACGAAATCCCCTTCTTCCATCCAAAGGAAGGCGGGCATTGTTACGTGTTTTTGTTTTTCTTTGCACTCGTTTGCGGATATTTGTGCTTGTGTTGCGGATATTTGCACTTGTTTTGCACTTCAATTTCTGCTCGCTCCTTTCGAAAATTCAGCGACCGATCATTTGGAGGACAAACCAGCCCGGTTTTGGGGACAAAAAAACGCTCGAAGCAGGAAAAAGTGTACGTTTACCATATTTTGGTGACGACCCCTGGTTTTGCAATACGTTTGGGCTAAGGGCAGAAATTTAGGTAGCGAAGGGTGCTCCAGGTAGAATGTTTAAAAAAAAAAGGGCTCCCTTGATCACCCCCCCCCCCCAAAAAAAAAAGAAGAACAACAAATGCACTCGGTGGGTGCCCGTGGTTTTGGTGCACCAAAAAAAACGCACACGCCCACTTGGGTCAGCCAAGTCATTGCTGTATGGCCCTTCTTTCTCATCACCCGGTGCCACCGGGGAACGAGGAGTTCAAAAGGGAAACGGCTGATTTTGGGGAACTCCCCTTTAGGCATCGGACCCCCCCCAAAAAAAAAGGAAGAGAAAAGAAATGAACACCAAAGATGAGTTCTCCTTTCACTTGTCCTCCACCACCCCAAAGAAGGGTTGTTATCTGCGACGAGACCCAAATTTCCAAAAACCTGAGAGAAGACTTGGATCTTCAAGAGGGCGGAATTCATGAGCTCGTTGAACCCCCTGCCCTGCCATGAAATAGGCAGAGCTAGAATGTTACCTGGGAAAAAAAGGGCTCCCTTCACCCCCCCGCCACTCGGTGGGTGCCCGTGGGTTTGGTACACCAAAAAAAACGCCCAGTGTCACCCAATTGCTGTATGGCCCTTTGTTCTCAGGACTTGCCACCGGGGAACGGGGAGTTCAAAAAGGAAACGGCTGATTTTGGGGAACTCCCAGTTGGGCGTGGAAGTTGATTAGGGATGCTTTGGTGGACAGAATTCTCTGGGGATGAGAGTCATGTCAACCACTTTTGAGGTGGTCTGTAAACAAGCCTAGCCATTTGGAGGCACACCCTAACTTGGCTATGTCTTTCTTTAGGCATCGGACCCCCCCAAAAAAAAGGAAGAGAAAAGAAATGAACACCAAAGATGAGTTCTCCTTTCACTTGTCCTCCACCCCAAAGAAGGGGGTCCTCTTGGGTCGCCGCATAAAAGAACCACGGCCCATGCCGGGCAGGCCACGAGCTCCTTGTAGAATTCCGCGCTGGGGAACTCGAAGCCTAAAGGACGGGGGTCCAGCGACGTGCCCAGCAAGTTGGTGGAAAACCCGTTGAACCAGCCACTCTTGGAGGCGAAACAAATTTGTTAATTTAAAAAAAAAAAAAAAAAAAAAACACATATTAGAATAAGCACTTTTGGAGGCGCCAAAAAAGCATGTAGAGGCAAGTCTGTTGAACCTAAGACACTTTCCGGGTCCCGCTTCCTGGGAGGCGCGGTTTGTGTTGTTTTGGTTCAGGTCCTTCCGATCGAGTGGATTGGCCAAGAAACCACCAAACTGTTTGCCCATCAAACGGTCGTCCCAAAGAGGACTAACAAGTGAACTCAGGTTGCTTATTTGGGTGTGGGTCAAAATTAAACCACCAGGGGGCTTTTAGACTTTCCATTTACCAGGGTTCCCTTTGGGGTACCTATTTTAGACCCACACCCATTTGAACAGTTTTTGCACACCCTGGAGGCCAGCCCTCAAACGGGAGGGTCGGTTCGATCGAGGGCCCTCGACACCACATCCTAGCCTCGCACCTTGCACAATGAAATGGAAAGCCCTCCAAGTGGCCGTGAACCGGCCATCTTTGAAAATGTGAAAATGGACATGCAGGGGCCCTGCCTTATCCTGGGCTTATCCTCGGGTGGCATTGGGCCATAGGAGGATGTGCAGCACGTCCAGTGCAAGGGTCGTGAACTTGAAAGGAGACCGAGGGAAACCACTATCCGAATTTCGGGGGGCTCCCAATTCCGAGAAATACCAATTGGCCCTCGGTAGCTCTATCCATAAGCTGAGAGCTCGTTCTGCTTTTTTTTGACTTTCAGAGGCTCTGTTATTTAAAAGTAAAAAAGAACCCACCCATACAAGGTGTTGCCCCGATTTTGACACAAACGGCAACCAACCTCGGTTGCGCCCGTCGATCACACCGCCTGTGTCCGCACTCACCGTGACGATTTCCAGCTGCCGCACTGAAGGGTCTGGCTCCTCTTCGCCAGCGCCTGCGCTTCGCGGAGAAAGATTTGGGCGTCAAACTGCCCAAAAAGGGTTTCCTCAAATAGGCAGACCCGCAAATATGTATATATATATATATATGTATACATGTCTATATATATATGATATGTGTTTTGGAGTTGGTACCCCTTTCACCTTGGTTTAGAGGGAAACCACAAGAAATCCCGCCATCTTGGGGTCATCCCTGTTTTGATACCCCCTTGTTCCTGCAGCTCTCCTGAAAAAACCTCTGGTGCTGGGTCGTCCCCACCAAGGAGGGAGCCAAAGGACTCTTAGGTGGGATCCGAACATTTTCCGCGGGCTGGACGACACTTCCTTCCCCATTACTCCGATTACATTGAGCCCAAGTGGCCCACAGCCCTAAAGCTGGGTTCCTTTTCGCTCGTTGAAGAAAGCCAGACAAACAAGGTTGCCCTACTCTCGCACGCGCCTAAAATGCAAATGGATCGAAAAAGGTGGTCACCTTGCGGTTTTAGCTGGTCACCTGTTCTCTCATGGGCTGGGGTTTGGGGCATCCCCAACTCCCCATCTCGGGACGAACATTATCAAACAAGTCTTTGGAAACAGGTTTGGGGCTACCTTCGCCTTTTCCACGAGGGTCAAAGCCCCAAACTCAGCAAATCCAAAGCACCGACTGAGGTGAAGGTAAGGCAAAATAAGTTAACGAGGGACATGTTCACTTCCAAACCCTTGCCTTTGTTTTTCAAAAATCAACAATGGCCTTTCTTTGCCACCAAGTAAAAATGAGCACGGCCAAAGAAGATCCAGTGGCCAGTGCTTGGAAACCTCGCATTGGTTCCTTGGCCTGGCTTGTCACCCTGCTCCCGCATTTGCTCGCAAGATCTCGTAAGCCAGCGACAAAAACATAAGACACGAATTCAATTAAGTTGAAGCACGTGCCTTTCAAGCCGAGATCACATTTCCTGTGAACGGGTGGGAACATTTGTTGGTTTAAAGAAGGCAGAAACCGAAACGGGACTTGATACCAAGGTTTTCCCTGCTTTTGGGGCCATAGCTGAGGTGCCCGCACTACGATGAGAAGGCATCTTGACAGCAAAAGACCAAACTCGCCGGCCCCTTGCAGGGCAAGAATCTAAACGTTGCCCAAACAAGTAGTGCCATTGCGAAATTGAGCAAGTACAGTACCAGTTCTGTGAGCCAAGCCCGATCACTCGCTGTCGTCACAAAGAGGTCTTCAAAAAGGCTCTTGGTTCCTAGCCCGTGATGCGGTGTTGCCGAGTCTGCGAACTAGTCTTGTCCAAAGGAATGCTGGGCAGAATGCAGTCCTGCTGTTTCATTCGTTGCTGCACAAGATCCATGTTTGCAACTCAAAACTTCCGCAGTCTACCAACTCTGCTAGAAGTTGCTTCGCAGAATATGGCAAAGGCTGTGACCCTTCTAAAAGTCATCCTGAGATTTCTGGCTCATAATTTCTGGTTTCTCTTGTGGTTTCTTGGCTTGAAGTTCGGAGCAACCCTGTTCAAGATTCACATTTCAGTGTCCCTTAAACTCCATGGCAACTGGCTGTCAAAAGCAAATTGGCCGCAGACTCCCACTAGGTTCTCCAGTAGAGAGGTTAGAACAAGGGTACCCGTTTTTCTGCAGTCTATTTTAGTAGGGGAACCCTCCCCCAAAAAAGAAACGGTCAAAGGGCACTACTGGGGGACCTAGCCCAGTTACTTGGTTGATCATTGAAGACGTTCGCCCATGGCATCCCCTGTGCTTAACCAAGGATGATGAACTGCCGGGCCGAGCCTCAGGTGTGTGGTTTGCAAGACCCATAACCCCAAATGGCTATGGGTCAAAAAACGGTACCCAAAATGGAACCCTGGTCAGTGGAAGCATGAACCAAAACCTGCGGTCCCCTGGTGGTTTAATTTTGACCCATATCCAAATCCAGTATGAAACGAATGTACCCAGGCCCATATCAGGTATTGAAGTGCCAGGGCCACCACTTGTCTGAGTGAATTTCGGTAGCCCCCGCGACATGGGGTAATGTACCCGTAATTTCGGGACCCGTTCTTCAAGGGCTCAGAAGGAGACGCTAGTTCCAATGCAGAGCCCCGTTTCTGCAATACACAGCAAGTGGTCCCAAAACAACTGGTTGTGCACATGAGTCTTCTTGAAGGTCCCGTGTTGGGGTATCTTAAAAGGAAAACCCAAAGCAAACACAAAGTCAATCGCGAGTCGCGAGCAGCCTGTACTTAGCAAGATCTGGGCGAAGCGAGGGTCGCGCAGCATGCCGCGGGAGAAGAGCACCACGAAATAGTAGGCCCAGGGCTTGTAGGCCGTCATCTCCTGAATCACTTGGGCGTTTCTCAAAATGCGGGGCAAACCAAAAGTGGTGGTTGGTGTCCTGTCAGTTTCCCTTTAACTACCAACCAAAAAGGGGACCCCTATTTTGAGAAACAAGGGAACCCGAGAAAAGGACCTTCAGAAAGGAGTGAGCTCGTTTTGCCCCAGCTCGGAATGATTTGTCCTAAATCGACTTGGTCGTCTCCGGTGGGATTGAAATCCTTGAACTTAGACATTGAGCAACCCGACACTTTAGGATAATTTTCTGAACTGAGTTACCATCAAACAACTAGCTATGATTGACAATTGAAATGAGGAACAGTTGCTTGATATCAGAAATACCTGTCAATGTGGTATAGAATTTATGTCCAGCAACCACTTGTCGCGGCATTCCGCATTAAAATTCACGGCCAATCCTCAAGTGGGTCGCAATCAAATCCACAGGAATCCGCTTCAGCCAAGTTAGACTCAAACCCAGGTGTTCTCCTTTCGGCTTTCGGGGAAAATTATCGCGCTCTCAAGTTGACTCAAGTTCAAACAAAGCCTGGTATGAGGACCACCAATTCCGCGAAGAATCAACAGGGCAGCCGCAAACCTTCACTCACCTATTTTGAGTATGTCTCAGCTGTACTCTTGGACATGGAAGTCAAACCCAAAGACTTAGAAAAACTTGCCAAGCTCACATACAGGTTCTTTAGGAAAGAAACCGGAGGGAGTTTCTGAACTGTCATCTTTCGGTTCGTGACGTATCGAGTACCCTTTGCAAAGGGTGCCCGAAACACGGAAACACGTCATATGTCAGGCCGCGGGTGAAGGGGCTAGCTCGCGGGGGGCCATTCCGGCCGCTTTGAAGAGTAGCCATTCAATCCAGGCAACATGTGAATATGCAACTGTGGCTTCGCGACAAGGAGTCGCTTTTCATGGTGCTCGCATTGAAGCTCGCCAATACAGGCGATTCGCCATTGGGCAGGTTTCCTGTTGTACTCTAATGGACCATCTTCATAATGAAACATATGTTTTGCCGGACCGCAACAACGGACCGCCCAGACTCCCAGGTTGAATTCGGGGGACCCCTGCCCTTTCATAGACAAGAGTCAAAGCAAACGTAGCAGTCGCATTTGCTTGGTTTACTTGTTTTAGAATGGCATTCTGCAACAATTGTTTGCTGTTGGTAATTAAACGTACACAGAAGTGGAAGCCAATACCAAACATACTCGAAAGCTGGCAACTCACTTCGAACTAGGGTGTCCCTAATGATTAAAGCTGTTTTCCCCCAGGATGCGTGCTATTAGTATTATTAGTTTTTGGGGGAAGGGACTATCAACCTGCGGATGGCTGGTTTCCATTGAGTGAGTCGGAACACGACTTACTTGGATTGATGGTGGCCAACAAAACATCGATGGTGGCTAAAACCACCATAGTTCAACTTGTTTGTGTTCCCGGGCATTGCACACGCAAAGCCAATCGTGTCGTTGCCAACCAGCTCCAGCAGTTAAACCGAAAACCGCTTCCGCGGGGGGAAACCGAAGCGACAACGGCACTGCGAGCGAGTGAAGACGAGCTCCTTGTCCGAGCGGATCATGGCACACTCCACGCGCATGTGGCTCTGCACCATGATCTGGAAAACCTCCACCGTGGCCAGCGCCTTCGGACAAAGCCCGAGGCCCGAGGCCCGAGGCCCGAGGCCCGAGCTGGGTGTCAAAACACAACACGCGGGTCGATGTTTGGAAACGCGCAAGGGAGGACCTGGTTCCCGCCAAAGCGTGAGTTGCCTGTTGCTGGCTGCTTGGCTAGTTGGCTGGTTGCAAGATCAAGCATTGTACAAAGCAAAAGGGGTGGTTCGCTTCAAGGGCCAAGTAGATTGCCTGGATCTTCCACGAGATTGACCTGTGGAAACCATGGACAACTGCACCTGGCTGGCTCTTGTCGGTGTGTCTCCAAGTGGGTGAACTGATTTGAACGGATGGTTTCCTTGTGGCTTCCCACAGCAACCAAAACAAAACCAACATTTTTATGTGAAAGCAATTGGAATCACGTGGTATCACTTGAAATCAGCGATTAGACACTCGCGGCAGGCAAACCCATTTACTTGTGAGCTGTCAACTCGGGAACCGTCCTCCTCCATGAAGGATGGTGAATAACACGACAAGCGGTTGATTCCAATTCCACTATGTTCAACTATGGGGTCTGTTCAAAAGCCAGTCGAATGATTCGGATCTTTCGGAACCAAAACCCCAGGGACTTTCACCGTGGAACCAAGATCTGGGCTGAGAATAGGTGGAAGCACGGTTGTAGCAACAACACCTGCTATGCTTCCAGAATGGGCAATCTCTGTGACTCACTTTCAGGGGGTGTTCCCTTGAGTCCAAAAACCCTGCAACCGCCCAGCCAAAGCAGGTGCTTTGGGCCACAAGCCCGAACAGACTCATGCGTCATCCAACCTGGGTTCTTTACAAAACCCACGTCCAAACCAATTTGAATGTCTTATCCTTGGGTCTCATCTCCCCCACCCCTCCTGCGCCCGCCGGAAAGAAAGAAGAAAAAAAGAGTCCTTGCCTCGGCGTCTGTTACGGAGCCGGTGATCAAAATCCGGGCCTTGACCTTGCCGTTCACTGGTGCTGTGGAACCTGGCAGACGCCGCGCCAGAAAAAAAATCCCTCGCGGACGTCGAGGCTGTTTGGACCCCCTTTCTGGGCTCTTCCCTCCTGAGCTAAAGATCAATCAATGGAAATGCCGTTTTTGAAAAGGCCTAGGAGGCTAAGGTCATACCAAAGACCAGCCATGTTCTTGGGAAACCGGGGATTAACATCTTGGGGTGGGTTCCCTCCTTTTGGCCCGCTTTTTCAGGACATTTTCTGAGGTTTGGGCATGCAAGTAGCCTCAGTCGTTCGTTGAACGGAGGACCCCCGCGAAAGGAGGCCCGGATTCCCTTCCATTCAAAGAATCCCATGGGCACCCGCCAAACAAAAACACTCCAACTTGCTTCAAAAAAGACACCCCCAAATGACCCAGCACGATGTCCTGGATTCCGCCTGTCATTTTAAGTTATGCTTGACTGGCGTCATGGTGTCGTCCAAGCAAACCCAGTGCTTCCAGTTGCCACATTTGCCAGTAACCAAGGGAAACCGCCATTTACAAACTAAAGGGAAAATCCACTGTCAATCGCAGAGAAGAACGCAAGAAGCTGGCCCAAAGAGTACTTGGCATGCGCCGCAATGGCATGCGAATCCATCTCGCTGAACAAGTTTACACGAACCTCGCAGTCACACTGTTCAAACCCCCTACGTATCCTACCATAAGCAGGAGGGTGTAGTAGCGGGTCCTCAATTCCACAAACGGGCAAAACAGGGCTATGAACAAATGCAGATCTCTAGGGATGAGTCGTGAGGGTTTCTCAGAATGGAGCTCTGACCGCCTTTTGGTTGGCAAAGGGTGACCAAGCAGGAAACCGGGCATTTTAGGCATAACCCCTGATTTTGAGAAGCAACCAGACGAATTCGGACCCTTCCATTTGTGAACCCAAGCCCGGATGCTCACTTCTTGACAAGAGCTCCTTTTTCGGGGACCCCCCCCCCGCTGATCCTCAACTTGGCCGGCGCGGCGGAAGACCTTCATGCTGACCTTCGCCCTCTGCAGCATCTCGATGACGATATCCTTCCGTTCAAAACCGTGGCCAACAGGGGGCTGATACAACGAGCTCCTATGAATCAAGGCTTAACTCGGTATTTTAGTTTTAAGTCCCACTCAAATGATTTTAGGATCGCGCATGAGCCCATTCTGTCCTGGTCCTTTTGAGGCTTGGCCCCCGGTTTGGGGAAAATGTGTTGGGTGAGCCAAGAGGAAACGGAAGGACATTTTGAGGATTCCCGCTGATCCTAACCTCTCCTCAACCTCGGGATGCCCCCCAAGATACAGGAGCCCCCGGCAACTCAAGGTCTCATTTGGGTCGAAATGACTCGTGCTAAGGGAACCTCCCAAATTGGCTCATTTGCCCTGGCAAGCGCCAAACCCCGGGTCATTTGAGTCCCCACAAGCCAGGCTACCATGCGTGAAATGTTCACTTCGGATGGAGCACAACCCACCAAGAGCTATCAGAGTGGTCTGAATTTGTAAGGTCCTGTGAAAAGTAGAGTCATCGGATTTGTGTTTCTTTCAGTGATTTTTGTGTTTTCCCCCGAAGTCAGCATTACTTGTTGCTTGCGGGTGCCAACAAACATGCCGCACGATAGAACTTGAGTGCGCCCTGGCGGCATGGTGTCGGATTCTTGACTGGCTAGTCGCAGGCAAACTTGTGAAGTCTGCCAGGAGACGGACCCGAACATCAGTTTCAAACGGGATCAAAATCAGCAAGTGACATGAGGATTCGGAGGGAAATATCTGTTCTAAGTAAAGACGAGGCATGGGAAATGTGGCATGGTGTGCAAAGCTGCGAACAGACTGAAGAGTTCTTGTTCACGGGGAATCACTGGTAAAGAGATCGTCGCCAACCACCAAAAAGTCCATCCCAATCTGGGCTTAACACGTTTAGGGGTGTTGAAAAAGGCCATCAGTTGTGCATACTAGTTAAGCCATTGCCTTTTCAGTGGTCTGCGCATGAATCCCGTTAGAATGTTAAAAGGGTCTTGCCAAACCCCTGATTAGCAGGACCCTCCGCAAACACACGTATCGAGTTAACCTTTTCGGCGATTCCTTTTGGAGACCCCTTTCTGTTCAGTCACCCTCGAATCAAAGAAATCGTCCTCTGTAGGCGTTTCAAATCAACCATCGCCCTTGTGGAATCAAACACTTGACGCGTTTCGATGCATGCGCGTCCTCTCGCCCCTGCGCCGGCCCGAAGCGTGAGAGCGTCAGGTGTTCGAGAGAGTCACGGAGCCACACATAGGCCTCGGGCTGCGGATTGCAGGCAGAAGGAGCTTCGGGGGTCTGGAGTCCAAAAGGGTCAAAAAATTGGTGTTTCACAGAAGAACGACCAGCACGCTGGCATCAGCAGCCACCATCCCCAGCATCTGCAGCGCGTACCAGCATCTGCAACAGCCGCTCGCGAATAGAAACTGCTAGAATCAGACCTCAAAAGCACACACAACAGCAGAACAAAACAAACGGATGCAATCTAGCGTGGTGTTCGCGACAATTCCGCCAATGCCCCCAACAAAGCATGAGGCGAAGCAGTTCCCAAACTTTGTCTCCACACGAATTGGAGAGTTCTTTAGTCTTTGTTTCAAATGAACATTACCATCCGAATTGTTGTCACACCAACATTTGCGGTGGACCTGCGGGGGCAAGAAAGCTTTCAATGATTGCCATTCACGATCAACCGAGTGAATTCCATGTGCCTTTCACAACTTGAGGCATCCGACATCATCTACGTGTCTACAGACTTCTTTTCGTTGGTGGCTCCCCTGATAAAAGTTCTTCACTTTCAGGATGAGAGCTACCTTTGGCCACCACAATGCACCATGAGAATGAATGCCAGAAACACCGTTTGCTGACACAATTCAGCAAGCCACTGGTCTGTACATCTTCCGAGGACTCAACTGGGCCAGGGTCAGCAGACACCCCTACCGAGCCGTGAAAAGAACTGCAGGGACCGAACATAATCATCCCCCCCCACCCTCCACCCCACCCCCAGCTCGTCGCGGTCGCGCTGAGTCGATAGGGGGACAGGCAGCACTTGAGAAGAAAAGTAACAAAAACAGTGATCGATACCAGGCGACCAGCGCAACCGTGACCAACTAGATAGATTAGATTGGATTAGATTAGATTAGATAGATAGATAGATAGATAGAGACTAGATAGATAAATAGACAGACAGATAGATAGATAGGTAGGTAGATTGATAGATAGATGGATAGATAGATAGATTAGACAGATAGATAGATAGATAGATTTAGATATACAGATAGATAGATTTAGATATACAGATAGATAGATTTAGATATACAGATAGATAGATAGATAGATAGATAGATAGATAGATAGATAGATAGATAGATAGATCGATAGATAGATAGATAGATCGATAGATAGATAGATAGATTAGATAGATAGATAGATAGATAGATAGATAGATAGATAGATAGATAGATAGATAGATAGATAGATAGATAGATAGATAGATAGATAGATAGATAGATAGATAGATGGATAGATAGATAGATAGATAGATAGATAGATAGATAGATAGATTAGATAGATAGATAGATAGATAGATAGATACATAAATAGATAGATAGATAGATAGATAAGATTAGATTAGATTAGATTAGATTAGATTAGATTAGATTAGATTAGATTACATTAGATTAGATTAGATAAGATTAGATAGATAAATAGATAGATAGATTAGATAGATAGATGGATGGATGGATGGATGGATGGATAGATGGATAGATGGATAGATGGATAGATGGATAGATGGATAGATGGATAGATGGATAGATGGATAGATGGATAGATAGATAGATAGATAGATAGATAGATAGATGGATGGATGGATGGATGGATGGATAGATCCGATTAGATTAGATTAGATTAGATTAGATTGGATTGGATTGGATTGGATTAGATTAGATAGATAGATAGATAGATACCGCCCACGGGCTTCGCCGGCTCTACTGCTATCTGCGTCAACTCCTACTCAATGTCTAACTGGATTTACATTGAGTTTAATAAGGAAATAATGCTATCAGAGTGTCTACTTCAAGTTGGAATCTAAAAAGGACTTTTTCTACCCAAAATTAGATTCTGCGCAGAAGTTCATTTCGACTAGAATTCGCTTTACACCTCAATTGGTAGTTCAACAAGTTCAGCACAAGTTGTTCCCTTAACAGAAGCAAAGCAAGTGCAAACAACAAACACAGACTTGCATGGAGAAGCAGATCAAAGCATGCACTCCCACAGTCCCCACCAGCCCGCATCTCCAGCAATACCAGGCTCGGCCACATCGTCTGAACAGCCACACGTGACTGGACAACTGCTAGAATCTGACCTCAAAAACAACAAGCAACACGAAATTGGGTTCAGTCTACCGTGATTTGTTCGCCAACCACACTCCACAGATCAAGCTTGTTTTGGACTCACCTCCCCACCCAGTGCTCTCAACACAAGTACCAAGCTCCTAGCCATAACAAGTTGCAGAAACTTAGCCTTGAATGCATTTTTCTTAGCCAGCAAAACACTTAGCCATGCAACTACTTTGATAAAACAAATAAAAAATAAAAAATAAATAAAAATGCTTGCGTTTTCTCGTTTCTTGCCTCCCCATGTCCTATCCTTCCCCCGTTCCTGTCCTTTCCTTTGGTGGCTCTGCTTGAGCTCAATTCCTGGTGGTAGCCTTTTAGTTGACGGCATTTCTCATTTTTCTGTCCTTTCTCGTCCTTCCCTATCCTATCCCCGCTTTTCAAGAAGCACATGAGTCTTCTGCCAAAGCAATCAAGCTGCTGCGGCTGTCAAGGTGCATTCCGTTTTTTCTCGTTTCTTGCTTCCCTTCCTTTCCTGTCCTTTCTTGCCCGGCATTGCCCCTTTGCCTTCTTGCTCCGCTTGTTGGTTGTTACTGGGCTCGTTTCCCAGGACAAGGCCCCGACTCGCAAAGAAGCGCTTCATTCTTTACCAAACATGTGAAGGGTTTGCTCGACATGTATAGGCAGACCAGATGCTTTCTTCACATCCTCCATGTCGATGCCGTAGTTGGCCAGGATCTGCTTCTGCTGGGCTGTCCAAACATCCTCGGTGGTTCTGAAAATGAGAAGCGGACCCCCCGAAATGGATTGGTTCCTTGCGTCCCCTCAAAACGATCCAAAAAGGGGTCGACCATTCTGCAAACCACATGAGCCATCGACATCGCAAGCTGACTCGGCTCTGGTGAAGCGCGTCCCCCAAAATAGACTGGATATTTGACCCAACGTTACATTCATGGAGGCTTTTGCTGATGCAATTTCACCTTCAAAAGGCGGGCATTTCAAATCCATCGTTCCCACCAATCCAAACCACCAATTAGCGGTGTGACAAATAGCCGACCAAAACTGCAAGGAGCAGCACATTTTATATGGCGAAACAAAACACTGCTTACTACAATTTGCCGCGCAGGCGATGTGGCTACAAGGGTTCAACAAGAGAAAGTCACAGCTACCCGCAGGTGAATACATATTGAAAGGAGCAGCACATTTGATATGGCGAAACAAAACTCTACTTAGAAGAGTTTGCCGCGCAGGCGATGTGGCTACAAGGGTTCAACAAGAGAAATTCAGAGCTACCCGCAGGTGAATACATATTGCAAGGAGCAGCACATAAACCATGGGGCCAGGCCGGGCAAAATCGGAAGGGACCCCTGGCAGTGTAAGCAGTCAGGTCCATCCAAAGCCAACGAGTGTGTTGCTTGGGGAATTCCAAGCCAATCCCGGCCAAGAGACCCGCGTTTTATAGACCCTCTGTGGCTTTCGGGGGCACCGGGACACCTGCTCTTTGGTTGGGTTAAAGGGACACAAAGAAAGCCACCCAGTTGTTGGGTCCCCGGATTTTGGACACACCTCACTTCTTCAAACGGCTTGAATCAAATTCCACCCGCCCTGCAGATCAATCCATCCAAGCGGCAGGGATGGCTTCCAGCGTCTTCTCGGTGAGTTGGATGAACCCATCGCAAATAACGGGCACCGTGGTCACCTCGTCAAGGCGAAATGGCAGACAAACGGACTCGCAAAGGGTCCAAGCTCCTCCGTGAATGAGAAGGAAAGCAAAAAGGACGGGGCCAAAAGGCTTCTCCCAAAATGATGGATTTTTGGGATTCCACCTCAGTCAGCGGAGAGTCTGTCCAACTCTAGAAGCACGAAACTATCGCACTCCCCACCCCACCCACCCGCCCGCTCGCCCGCCCACCCGCCCACCCGCCCGCCCACCCGCCCACACACCCACACCAACACACCCACACACACACACACAAAAATAGCAGCTAAATCGCATCAAGGAGTCTAAAACATTCGACATCAGAAATGAAGGGACCGTCACATACAAGAAGCGTGCTAGCGCTTCGTGAAATATGTATGTAACCCTCCATTTGTGGAGGCCCAAACAGGGACGCCGTGCAGCAATGTCAACGCCAGTCTTTCAAACAAAAGTCGCTTGGAGGCAAAGCTTGGCTTTTTGCAGCACGTGACAAGCAAATGGAATGTGCCAGCCTGCGGGAACTGATCAGCCCTTTCTCCTCCCCCCCCCCGCGAAAAGTCAACCCAGTTCGATAGGACGAGTTCTTGAAATGGCGCTCTCCTTTTGGAAATCATCTTTGAATGAGCCTAGCTGCCATACCACCCTGAGAAGCCCTTGTTTTCCTATGCCCATGGGTGTCTGTCGGGACTCATTGAAAGTGGCTTTGAAGATGGAAGTCGGAACATGTTTTGTTGCAACCTTGCCAACTTGGGTCCCAGGGCATGCTTGAGAGACTGACCATGGCCCCCTTTCAAGGTATAAACCAAAGGGAGGTTGCTTAAACAATGGTAGTTTGAACATGTTTAAACAAGGAGTTAGCGCAATCCGAGTTCAAATCTTTGAGCAAGGGCAGTTTTGTGTTGACATCTCCAGCCAGCATCACTCATCTTGCAGCGCCTTGTTCTTGTGCGCGGTGACGATTTCACCGGCGCCTCAGATAGCCACAATGAAACTCTTGGTCATCCGTGCCTGTTTGCTGTGACTGCCTGCTGACCTCAGCTTGTCTTGGCTTTGCGGCCCAATGCTCAAGTTCGCCAGGCCCTCTGGTTTTCTTGTGGCTAGGCAGAAATATCTGAAGGCCTGGCTGAATGCCCACGTGGAGGTGTGCCCGCCCCCCCCCCAAAAAAAAAAAAGAGGTCAATTTCCTCTTAGGTTCCCTTCACCCTCAACAAAAAGACATACCCAAGAGGACGGCTTTCCAACAAGTTTCGCATGTTTGCTGAAAGGGTGCTTTTGAGCACGCTTTCTCTCGAACATCACTTGTCTGGAAGTGGGCGTTCATGCAATAAGATTGAGACTTGGGGCACTCAGAGGCAACAAATTCCAACGCTGCAATCAACGTGACTCGTTTCCCGCCTTAGGAGGTCATATTCCCTACCGTTTCCGAAGCACCTCGCACATCGCAAATTTCCAGAGCAAGTACTCCATATCCAAGCGCCGAGGGCTGCAGAAGTCAAATGAATTATAACAAGTTGGCCCCTTCTATCCACCGGGAAAAGAGAAAACACAACTTGGGGATTTATAAATTTCAGTGGACTCGTTGGTGGGTATCATTTATGTGGGAATTGAGTCTATTTGCAACCACCTTTAGTGTGTTCTTTTCGTGTTGTCTGCACATGAGTGCGCGTTGGCAAATAGGGGACCCCCGAAAAAAGATGGGTTTTCCCTTCAGTTTTCCCAAGGGTTTCCCTTTGGTTTTCCCTTGCGTTTCCCTTTGGTCTTCCCTTGGGTTTTCCCTTGGGTTTCCTCTCTGTCCATTTTTGAGGACACCCTCTCTCTGGGATTCGAAGGGAAACCGCACGGAAACCGCAGGGAAACCGAATCGACTTTAGGAGCCAAGGCACACCACATGCGCTTCAGGAGCTCCGGAGTAAGCACCACCACCACGCTCCTATGAGGATAGGCCGTCCAAAACCAATGTAAGGAGGCAGGGGCAAACAAGTAGAATGGGGTTGGGGGGCGTGAGGGGGGGGTACTTTAAACCAAGTCTAGCCATGATTACAGGGGAATACTCTTCGCAAATGTTTAGCTGTTTATGTTACGGTTGCCCTCGTTGCTTCCTTCTTCGCTTCATGCGGGCAAATTTATTATGATGGCGAAAAGGCAACTATCCTCGGTTGCTTTCTGCTCCCCTGCTAAAAGTTTAACATTTAGTGGTTTAAGGGAAAACCATTAAGTGGCAAAAAGTTATAAAGTCCTAACATCCAAGCAAAAAGCACCAAAGTATCGTTGTCTGGCTCGTAGGGATTAATAAGCTCAACTATCTGGAGTCCTAAGAAACGGACACGAAAACGATGCTCCTTCCTACATTCCAATGGCACAGACACAAACAATGAGAATTCATTGTCGGGTGTAATCGTTGACAACAATGTTGGCTTTTGCCTTCCGTTTTTTTTCCTAGACCCCCTTAGGAACGCAACGCCATGAGCGACAAAAATACTGCAGGTTCGGCGGTGCCCAAGACCCATTGGGTCCCAACATGGTCACATGGCTGGAATTAGGACAGCAAAGAACCATGTGTTTGTGGCCTGGGTAGTGGAAAACAACTGGGACCCCCAAAAAGCCCCCCAAAAAGAGGGAGCTAATTCTGGGAAAGATACAAACCTTGCAATAATCCCCGTTGCACCAAGGTAGGAAACGAAACCTCCAAAACGGCCTGACTTGCAACAGCTGGGCTGGGCGTCGCTTTAACATGAGATTCGGCATAGAGCGAGAAGCATGTTCCGGTCCACGCGCCGACAATTGCGATCGGTTGGGGATGGCGCCCTATATAGGAGCCATGAAAAAAGGTTGAAAGTGATGCAAACAAAAAAAAACTTGGGGATACTCTCCATCTCAATCAGGAAAAAACAACCCGTCCGATGAGCATGCCAATCTCCAGCTGACTACAAAACACCATGGGGTTGATGACTATCGCTCAGACTGGCTGACAGCGAGCCTTGGCCGAACAGTACTAGGCTGATGGGAGTGAAACAGAAGAGAGGTCCGTGCGACGGAAGATACGATGAGAAACGAATAACGCAGTTATAGATCCTCAAACGCACATAAAAACCAAAAGACAGCATCTGTCTGTATATCTATTCTAACTTTATCATCCCATAGGTGCAGACACGCAGGAATCGGAGACTGCGCGAGCAGACCACTGCCAGACCGGAACCCGAAACCTGGTGATTTTCCTTTGAGCTTCCTTTGAAGCCAACCTAGAAAAAGGGCGCCGGGCCTCCAAAACAAAAACACACACACACACATACACACCAGTGCCGCGGTAAATCGTTTCTACTAACTCTGGGCTTGTAGCGTCGAAACCGGGACCTCCAAATGGGTCGAGGGGGCCGTGCCAGATCCCTAAAATGGGTCGGTTCAGTTCAATCCCACCGAAGAGGGGTTTGATGCCCCCCAAAATGGGCTTTGGTTTCCCTTCAAAATCACCAAAAATGGCGGTGTTCCTTTTGTGTTCCTTTCAGATCAACCTATGAATGGGTAGCCTCGAGAATCACAGACGCATTTGGACCAGCCGCTTGGTCTTGGCCCGGATGGTGTCAAAGATGAGGTCCAAATCCTCCAGCTGATCCGAGTCCAAGAAGACGTTGGTGTTGCTGTGCCTGGCGCGCAGGCGAAGGCACGATTCTAAATGGAAAATCAGGGAAGCCCAAATCGGGCAAAAGGGCAAACGGGCTAAGTCTGGCGATGTCGTGAGGGTTGCTTCTTCGACCCGACCAGCAGGGAAGAGGGAAAAGAAACACACATACACAAAAGCAGCATCGGTGTCGCTCATGTTTCGGAGGGTTCCATAGTCGGCAGCAAGCCCCTGGCTGAACCGAACCCAGACGACGGGGACACCGAAAGCCCTTCCTTTCGGAAGGCTGGGGCCTCAGGTTTTTGCATGTTTTGACCCGCAGGTAGATGGACACCCGAGACGATAGGGACAGCTCCAACATGAAGCCAATCAATCCAAGCATGACTGTGCATATTTAAAAAAAAATAGACGCGTAAATGTATATGTACATGTTGTGGTTAGGCAAAAAGTGCTCTAAAAAGGGCAACCCTGACACATACATTGAGTAAAACAAAGGCCAGCAAAGAATGTGGGACCGCCACACTGTCTTGTTGAATGGTGAGGCCATGGAAGAGGGATCGCTACTCGCCCATTTGCATATGCTTATATATTTATATATATTTATATATATACACACACTTGTATGTATATATATATATGTACATTATATGCATTACACATAAGGCTGCATAAGGCTGGTCTTCCCTAAAGTTTAAAGTCTGCCACAAATCCAAGAGTTGTGAAATGCGAGTACCACAAACTGCGATGGAAAATTCTCGGCCTCTTCGGTGAAAAATGGCTCACACACACACACACACTGGCACACACCTTTGTCCTTGCGTGCCTAGCAAAAGAGCAATTTGAAGCACACCTTCGGACATGAGCATGATTTAGTGCCCGGAAATAAGGGGCAACATGACCGGAGTCTTCATCATATGCGCGGTGCCAAACCAAAAACACTATAATCTGCCGAACATGCAGAAGCATTCCTTGCGCGTGAGCCATCTGTCCAAACTACGAAAACCGAACTTGAGGCACACTGGCTTTACCGCTTTGAATTGGTGTTCTTTGCTATTAGTGAAAGTGGACCAGCACATATCAAGATGCTCCACCAAACCTGTCAATGATGTCCGTCCAACCTTCAACCAGTCGAGGGGCTTGGCTTGCCGAAGGTGATGGTTTTAAGAGCACCGCAGGCGGACATCCCGCAGGAAAATTAAGACGAAACACAAGAAGCATAGATGGATATATCGGAAACATTGCGCATTTAGGGTTTCCCATTGAAGAAATCTAGGTCATGTCCGGCTTCAAAGCAGAGGTGCGGGTCGCTTTTTGCATGTTTGTCCAAAAAGGAATCTGTTCATTTCCTGAAATGGCAAGAGGTTCCTTGTGCCTTCCCTTGAAATACCAACCAAAAGGGGGACGCGTCCACCATGTTGATTGAACTTCCCAAAAATTTCAGTTCAAAACCGGAGACTTGGATAAACCAAAAAAAACAACAGACACAGACAAACAGACGGACCATCAGAGCAAGCAAGCAAAAAGACGAGATGAAAGAAAAGGAACGCGACGCCGGCAAAGCCGGGAACACCCGCCTGTGGGCCAAGAGCTTGAGGAGGCGGCAAAGGCTGCCGGCACCTGGCCGCAGGAGCCACCGAAGGAGCTCCGGGTTGGTCACAAGTAGTCCCGCGCATGTGTTGTTTCTTGTTAAACACAAGCGCACCCCCCCGCTCAAAAAAAAGCTGTTGGATGTTGAAAGGGGGGACCTCCAAACAAGGAGAAATGGGCTCTGGAGGGCTGGGATTGACATGGAAGCCCCAGAAACACTGACGTGTAGAGGAATCTGCTTTTGGGGAAAGGACCCCCTTTGCGTGTTCCACGTTAATTTGGAGGGCCTAACGTGTGTCTCACACTAGGGTAGCCCGAGCCCTCAAAAGGCTGGTTTCCCTGTTGGCTTCTCTTTTGAACAACCCAAAACAGGGGTATCGTCAAAAACAAACACATTTACCGGCATATTAGGTGTTATTAGGTACCCTCCCAAAACAAACATAATGGCTTTCCTTTTGGGTTGGTCTTGAAGAAACGGTCTGCACCGATGGACATGGGAACTTGGTGTGCTGGTTCTCGGACATTCAGTGAGTCCCCTGCCGCTCCCACTGGAAATGTTGACTGAACCCATCCCGTCACACCCACTGCCACAGACTCGCGTCGCCTCCCTTGTGGTGGCACAGGAAGATCCCGAACATGTCGCCGGGCATGAAATGCCGGTAAATGGAGTAACCTCTCACGGGAGAAGCCGAAGGCCCCTACCCACCCAAGAAAGGTTGGCAGAATATAGAAAGGGGTTCTTAGAAGGATTCTAAGAACCTAAAAGGCTTTCTGAAGGGAGGGGGTCCTACTGTCTCGGCATCTTTCAAGCGCTGCGCAAACTGCACATAGAGACGGGCAGAGAAATCAAACCATCCAAGTGCATCAATTTACGAAGATCAAGAAAAGGTCGACTTGTTTTGGACAAGTGAGCAACTTGCAGGTTCTCAGTACTAGTAGGGAATAAGGAAATGGCCTTCTTCTAATCATCCCTTGTGGTTTCTTTTCGGAGCACTCCTAGGTTCATTCCGAAATTCTTGAAACTCCCTGCTTAAAAAAACCAAACGCGTACAAACCCCCGGCACCCCTCTGATGGAGCGTGATCTTCTGAGCCAAACGCCGATCGCCTTTCCTGGGCCTCTGCGGCGACACGACCAGCCATGGCCTGTTGGGTTGGCTTAGGGAAATCTCCCAAGGAAAAGGAAACAAGGGGAACCAAAATGCTGGAGGTCACCTCCAAGCCACGGTTTGAGGCCGAACGAATTTGCAAACCCAAATGGTGGTGAAGAGACACCCCTCAAAATGCAACCCCTTCAGGGGTAACCGGCAAAACGTCCCCTGCGCTTGTTTCTCTCTAAAAATATACATATATACTATTTTGTCCTTTTTTCTTTTTCTTTTTTCTTTTCTCCCTCTCTCCTCCCCTCCCTCCCTCCCCCCTCCCTCCCATGCCCGGGGCCGCTCCGCTCGATCAAATCGAGGGGCCCACCGCCGACAAGCCAGCAAGGAAGGGTCCCAGCACTGCCACGCACAGCAGCCAGCCCAACATCTCGGTGGACTGAGCCTGCGGCAGCGGGTCGGGCAGATGGCCATCAACTTGCGATCGGTGCGACAGGTAGGGAATGAGAAATGGAATGAACCTGGGGATTCCCTTAAAGGAAACCATAGGGGATGGTTTGTAGAGGTCATTCCCTCAGTCCCTGCTGAGCAGCAGCAAGTCAACCAATGGGCAGAATAGGGAAAAACTGTAGGTTTCCCTTGAAACCCACCTGAAAACGGCGCCCTCAATAAACCCCGCATAAAAGGGGGGCTGGCTAAGAAATAGAATGGAACCATTGCTTAGCCATTACAGGTAAGCAACTCAGGAAAAACAAGTTTGTGGAGCCACAATAGAAACCAAGTTCAAAACATTGATCATAAGCTGAGCTGCTCAAAATAGAGGGCTGTCCAATCCAAATCTATAGTGACCAGAGAGGACTCCCTTCGTTGCGCAAGGGAAGGATGAGGGTTACCTTTGGACAGCCCAGTGCAGAGGATGCAAGCTGTTGTCCTTCTCATATTACCATCCCACCCACTAAACGTCAGGGTCCCAACCAAACGATTTTCCCAAGTTAAAGGATGATTTTCTTGGTTGCCTTCACATGGACATGGAGTCGCTGAGATACATACCCTCCCGCTATGCTACATGCAAACTGGCACCAGACTTGCGGATGCTGATTCGGGGCGGTCCTTTTGCCCTTCGGGCAGCTTGGCATAGCTCCAAGACACCACCTACATCTTAAGGCTTAAACATTTTTTCCAAGACGTGCTCCAAAGGCCGCACTGGGATAGAAATGTGGTCTGGAGAGTGAAAAGAAAGAACCAAATACCAATTATTCGACCATGTTGGTTGTTGTTTTGAAAGTCCGGACAACTTGAATAAGCTGGTCAGGTAGTCTGCACTGGAAGTGCTACCCGCCTGGTCAATCTCGAGGAGAGGTGCTGCACCAAGCAATACGATCTGCAGGAAGCATGTCATGATGAGGTCCGCGTAGTTGGCCTGTTGACGAGAAGACGTTGGAAGCAGAGCTGCAATTTTCTCGCTCGGTAGGGAATGATTTCTATGAACCACCACTGTGGTGCAGCGATTCTTGTGTAAGAGAATCCCAAACCTTCATGATTCTCTGAGAACGAGCAAGTTTCGGTGACCCGCAAACTGTCCCTTAAAACAAGGGCTCCCCCTTGTGGAACAATCAGCCAGCCTCAGCATGTGCCCAGTCAACCGGGCCAATTGCCGCCCTGAAGTAACTGAGCAGAAGACACACTGAGATGGAAGGTTCATTCACAGTGCCCAACCCACCATTGAGAGGAGCCGCGGCTGACAATCAGATCCATGCAGAACCAGCCCATCTGAGGCCATTCCTTGAAGATAAAACAAATCCAGCTCGCTAGAAGCGAAGCCGAGCTTTCGCACACGCCGGGCTGATGGCCATAAACTGCCCGTCAGCTGTGACCCCAATCCCCCGCCTGCTCCGTACGCCAGGGCCAAGTGCGGACTTGCAAGGCGCCACCACAGACGAAAAGCGCACCCATCAGCACCACCTGCCGGACGTTGCAGCCCCAGACTCGACCTCCTCTGCGGTCCCAAGTCAAAATGGGCCCGAAGCAAGAGGCTTTTTGTTGGCCCAAGGCCCAAAGACTCAGGAATCCCACGTGGTTCCCCCGAAAGAAGACCTGCCTGAGTTTCCCCTGTCATTGCCGCTTAAAAATGGTGAAACCAACCCCAATGTTCAACACAATCCCCTTTTGGGAGGGCTAAATCTAGGAACGACATGTCCTTTTTCTCCACTACAGCTGGCCTGGATCTCCGGCGCGGCCACGAACATCACCGGAAACAGTGCCACAAAGGCGTTGCGGACGAGCAAAACCAGGCCATAGAAGTAGCACTCTGGCCTGGCATTCGCCAAAACAAGCGCGTGCACTTTCAGGTGGTACAGGGAAAGAATCAAAGACATGACTCCGACAACTCAAAGGGCACCGTTACTATTATCATTATCACCACTACTACTACTACTACTACCACGTCGCTGACGACACCAAAAGACCGACAAGCCAACAAAACCGCCAGCCAGAAAGCAAGCAAGAAAAGCCACCAACCCACCAAGCATTCAAGCAAGCAAGCAAGCAAGCAAGCAAACAAGCAAAGCGACGGGAAGGGAAGCGAAGCAATGTAAAGCAATGCAAAGCCAAGCCAAGCAAAGCACCAAGAACCTTCTCAACATTCGGAGAAACACACTCATACTCGCCATCTGCGACGTTCTCTCCGGACGCCTGAAGCGCTGGAAGAGGAAGCGGTAGCGGTTCACCAGCTGAAGTCCAGCGCCGGAATTGATGCGCGAGGGGTACTTCACCTCAAGGATTGATGCTAATACCCCTCTCCCCACAGCCGCATACCCCTTGTAACCCGGGATTGAAACAAGGAAACGGGGTATAAACACGGGATAGCTTCCACTCTCTCGAGTTTGCCAAGGCTTGGCAACCACTTGAGGCTGCGTATCAAAGGCTGACTGTACACGTCCATGGTCTTTGGAAGCTGAGTTTCCATAATTGAGGCAGAAGTTAAGTACCTGAATCAGCTACAGGTTCATATTATGGGGGGCATGGGTTCATGCATTCACCCTATGCTATGCAGCTCTACACAGCAGTTGTCAATCGAAAATCATAAGCCGTGCCTGGAAGTTGCTGGTTCTCGGAAAATCAACGGCTTGGGAATGAACCAATGGATCCTCTATAAACTATACGGGTTGAGCCATGGTCAACCTTTGGGCTTCCCGGCTTCCTTTAGGGCTGCGTCAACACACAAATTGCGGCGGAGGGAGGGGGGGCGGGGGGGGAACCTTGATCCTTGGGGGGCCATTAAAAATGGAACAAAAATGGCACCTGACATCTGTACCAGCAGGGGAACCTACTTTGGCAAGGCTTCCAATTCACAAAACATTTCAGAAATGTTCCCCTGCCCAAACATGGGCCAGAATTTGGAGGAGCTAAAACCAATCGACGGGCTGGTTTTAGAACTCAAAAAGCATGATGAGAAACTAAGAAACCCCAAGTTTCCAGAAGGTCTGATCAAAAGCAATGATCATCTCCCAAATGTTCACTCGGAAAATCAGGCAGTTCAGGACCCCCCTGTGCAAAAGGTGGACTGTTCAGCTCTCTCCTCCAAAGTGTGCGAGTTGAAAGAGACATCTCAGCATGCCCTTCTATAAGTATCAGCTGGTGAGAGCGGACTAGGATTCTGGTAACTGCCAAAGCGCAGAGGGGCGCCTGAGCACAGCTAGACAATTAGAAGCAAACATTCTGGAATGGCGGCTTGTGCTCGGAGCCGGGTGCGTCTCAATGGTGCTTCTTTATGCTGGTTTGCCTCTGAAACCAGCCCAAACAAAGGGGCAACCCTAAAACGAGATGCCCTTTGAACCCCTGGGCACGTCTCCCCTTGCCTTTCGTCCCTTTACCGACCAAAAGGGGGGCCGGTGTTTTTTCCATGTCGGTTCCCTCGATCTCTTCGGCTGAGGCGCCGTGGTGTAGGTGGCCCAGACCAAGATGGTCACCGGGTAGCAGATGATGCCTCGGAGTCCGAAGATCTCAACCCATGGGTTGCTCAGATTCCCTTTCGGCCATCACCTTCATCACCTTGACCCAAAGTGGGCAAGTGGTGGCCTATACCTATGGGCCTATGGGGTGGTGTCTGGGTACTGTGGTACCAGGGGCCAGAGTGAGCTGCCTTGTTTGGCAAGTGGTCAAAATTAGGGGACCTCCCCTGTAGAAGGCGGCGCAAAGCGGCACCAGGGGCCAAAAAGGCCCCATACTTTTGACAACCCTGCCCAGCCTCGTCCCTTGAATGGGTTCGATCACACATGGGTTGCAGTTTTTGGGACGCGACAAAACCGCAAGGTCGTCCTGCACAAGCGATCGGAACCCGTCGTTTGCTAGGACCCGTAGAGGGATCCCCCGAGATTGACAAGCCCCCTAGTTGATGAGTATGGGGTGTCCCAAGGGATTTGGTCACTATTGGGAAACGTCCCCGACTTGCTCACCCGACGACGACATTCTGGCAAGGACGCGTACGCTGAGAGGCGCCGGTTTGGGAGCAAGCCAAGGACTCAGCCCCTTGCCATGACTCATGCATACACTAAAAAGAAACAGACAACTAAGATAATTTAGATATTCATTGGCACCCAGGTAATTTGTGCGTCTTGCGGACAGCCCCATTCTGCCTTTGAAGTTGGGTGCCTTGCAGCTGCGCCCCAACCCACATCCACACTCGGCGCAGGGGCCGACGATGGAGAGCCCGATCAGTGTCCAGTGCTCCGCGGAGTCGTAGCAAATAATGCCTGGCAAGTTGGTGCCAAGACGATCAAAAGGCACAAAGGTAGACTTGTTGAACCATGGTTGAGAAAAACACACTTTTGAAGGTGGCCACTCCCAGGACTACGTTGTCACTTTGAAGGGGATTCCAACAAAGTGGCTCCAAAGCACAATTTCCCACAAGCATTGGTAGAAGTTTAGCCGGAAGCGCCCTTCGGGCTTGGTTTCATTTTCCTCAAAGGGCGGAAGGCGGTAAGGCAAAATTGGCATGTGCAGCAGTTTGAAAGTTCCTGTGGTTTGATGCCAGGATTGCTCTAAGCGCCTAAGAGATGATCAAATCACAAGGGTCGCGCATATTTGGTCAGGGTTGCCTTTCATTTTCCTGTTGGATTTATATATTTCTCAGGGCTCAAAAGGCCACCGCAAGTTAATGCTATATAGCAAAATGAAGTGGTCAGCAAGTCTAGTTGGGACCCTTTGGTGGGCATCGATTGGCATTCCCCTTTTCAAGTCTGTAGCCATGTCGTCAGCCAAGGAGGCGCAGTCCTGTTGCCTCACCATGAATCTCAGAACATGCCAAAGTCTAGTTTGCATGCTTGCACATTGGCCTGTGCTCATTCGTACAGTGTCGCGCTTCCGCGCGACAACTTGAACATGGTGCAGCAAGACCTTCCCGATTTCTGAAGGAAACCTCTGTCATATTATAGAAACAGGGCTAAGGACTGAGTTGGCGCAGCCAGCTTCTTGGAAAATGGCAGGTCATGTTGGCCCGCCTTTAAGACGCCCGAACCACCAGGCATGGTTGCGTGTCTTTCCGTGCGTTTGCGTGTGCCGGTGCGGGTGCGGGTGCGTGCGCGCGTGCGCGACGTCAGTAAGTAGAACGCACGTTACGAGCGTGCGTGCGTGCGTGCGTGCGTGCGAGCGGCCGGGCGGGAGGGCGTGCGTGCGAGCGTGCGTGACTGTGTGTGTGTGTTGTGTGTTGGTGTGTGTGTGTGTGCTGTGTGTGTGCTGTCTGTGTGTGTGAGTTGCGTGTTGTGTGTGTGTGTGTTGTGTGTATGTGTGTGTGTTGTGCTTGTGTTGTGTGTATATGTGTCTGTAAGTGTGTGTTGTGTGTGTGGTGTGTGTTTTGTTTTGTGTTGTGTTGTGTGTTGTGTGTTGTGTTGTGGTGTGTTGTGTTGTGTTGTGTTGTGTTGGGTTGGGTTGGGTTGTGTTGTGTTGTGTTGTGTTGTGTTGTGTGGTGTGGTGTGGTGTTGTGTTGGGTTGGGTTGGGTTGGGTTGCGTTGCGTTGCCTTGCGTTGCGTTGCGTTGCGGTGCGGTGCGGTGCGGTGCGGTGCGGTGCGGGGCGGGGCGGGCGGCGCGGCGCGGCGCG